CCGTCTCCTCAGTGCGGTGTACTGTACGGCTCTTTGGAGAGGAGGCCCCTCCCCCACCGCCCCCCAAGGGTCTGACAGTTTTCAGATACAGTACCCATGGACCCACAAGTGCAGCATAAACAAGCACACAACACACAACACACAAACACACACACACACACACACACACACACACACACACACACACACACACACACACACACACACACACACACACACACACACACACACACACAAAGGTGAATATTGCTCCTTTTCATACATGCCAACATTTAGGTTTGAAAACACAGGAGGGGAGGGCATTGAAGTGGAGCAAGAGAGCGTGCAGTAAGGAAATAAAATAGATATATTAATTGTGTTTTTATACATTTTATGACAACATTTGTCACTGTGACAATACATGTGCTGTTAGGGGTGAAGTTATACACTATGTTCACAATCTATGGATCCATGTGAATAGATTATTTATAATAAGGTTGTCGGGTTGACAGCATCACAGGAGCTTTTTATGAGAAATAACAAAACAGCAGGGGGCCGGGAGGTTGCCTTGAAATGCAGGTTGAACCCGGGATAAGCTGGCGGTATCAGATTCTTTCACCAGATACAAAACGCTGAACTTGATTGCAACAAAGGATTTCTTCAGTTAGACGAGACTTTGATTGGCAGGTCTCAGCCAGTGGTTAAACATGTGCATGTTTTACACGCTGCATGGCACCACATTACACAAACAGAAGACAGAAAATCATACTTCTGCTTGTCTGCTTAAGAGGTACTGCTGAGTAGTGATTTCCTCCAACAACGTCGGTCCAAATAGACCATAATGCTGTAACGAGTCATGCTCCATATATCAGAGCATCCCATGATGAGACCTATTTAAAAAGTCCAGGCTCAAGCACATATTAAAAGCCTGCTGGAGCATCTCTCCGTCCTATCGACCCGGAGAGGCAGTGTTATTATCACAATTCATGTCGAAAATCAATCCACAAAAAAATCCATATTCCTAGCTCTATTTCCCCTTTTTTGCTCTTCACCTGAGCCTCCCTCAGAAGCAAACAACACACTGCAGTGTAACAAGCAGTGAGCAGAGGAGGGGGCTGTTCGACAATGTGCCACTCTCCAGCAGTAAAGCTGCAACTCTCCTCGCAGGCCGCACTGCTCCCACGTCTCCCCTGAGTGATGTCGCAGAGAACCGGCCTGCGATGCTGTGGTCAAGTCAGAGCCCAGGGAGCTGTGACAGCCTGCCGCTCTCTCAGCCACAGCAGCAGGAAAAAAAAGGGGAAAAAGCACTGAAGCAAAAGAGTCTTCTCGGCAGAGATGAATAAAGCACAGCACAGGCACAGATGCCTCAGGAAGATGCAGGAAAAGACACAGTGTATGAACACTGGGCACAAACACACGCTATCACTCTCCAGCATGCACTGCAGCCAAATCATTTGGAAAACACAACTCAATAGACCATCCAGCCATTAGATATTTATCCAGTGAATAAGACAGAGAGTGGGGGGAGTGAACAGCTGAACTGTTCCAGAGAGCTTCAGACTCCAGTGAGGGGGTTGAACAGCAGGTTTCTTGGCTCGGGCTGATCGTCATTTTTCAATTTGATGCCAATAGTAAATGTTGGAGCTGAATCTTCGATTGCCAGTTTTCTCTATGGGCCAGGGGTCATGTCATAAAAACAAGATGTGTGTCTCCATTTCAGGAAATATGGACTTCAGCACATTGTTGCACCCCTTAGATAAGAAACAAGCAGCTCAAACGTTGGGTAGAGACAGTTATTTTACTATGAGAAGCAACCCTCAATGCCCAACACCTTAAGCCCTCTGTCTTGGGACATTTTACATAACTTCATGCAATTCATGAAGTTATGCAAGTTATGCAATTCACCCAATTATCCCTCAAAACTCAAATAAAGAAAAGAGTTTGTAATTTTAATGCCCTTTTCGATCCATCGTCTGAGCTGCCCCCAGAAGGAAAGGTTTATGGACTTTAAGTTGTACATCCTGGCTCCTATTTGATTGCAATATAACCGATGCAAGCTAACAAATAAACAACCCTTAAACTCCAGCCAGGAAGTGCCTTAGTTTGCTTGAAAGAAATGTGTCTCCCATCTTCCCCTGAGTTTGCCCCAGCAGAGCTGTGCATCAGTGATCACTGAGGGACCTGAAAAAACATCTTCTATCTCATTTCTAACTTCTTGGGATGCTTGTAAATGTTCAGTCGTACACACAGAGCTGCCCTCAGGTAACGGAAATGCATCTCCAGTTCTACAATGTAGTCGTATTCTCCTGTTAGCGCTCCGTTCTGACGTGCTAGCCAACTGTTTTGTAGCCTAAAGGCTCGGCTTTGAGCTCCAAGAATCAGGGATTAACTGCCAGGCTCTGCTTCTTTTTAATCTTTCATGCACAAGTTTATTTTGTGTTAGGCTTTGTTTTGACTCCTATTCCTCTGTAATGCCCTGGAATCCCCATTAGGGAGCCAGCCGTCTAGGATTCCCATCTGCAGCAGCCCCCCCTTTCTTTGTAGACCCACTTGGCGGGGTGCCCGTCTTCAGTGGGATCTCTTGTTGCTCTCACATGGCAGAGCTCATATAGGGAGAACCTTTTTCAGATGAGTCAGAATCAGCTTAGTGCTGATCAGCAAACCAAAAATGAGACTAAAAAAAAAGGGACGAAGAATAAAGACCTCAGGGGACCGTCTCTCTTCTAGTTAGTCTTGCATATCGGAGCAGGCAGGAGCGAAACTAAATCAAGGCTCCATCCTTGCTCGGAGAAACGGCTATTTCCCCTTTGCTTTTGTTTAAAAAAATAAAAAGCTCTCTGTTGTCCTTGAAGGCGAAATGGACTGTGGCTAAGATAACGCAACGAGCGGGTTCATCCTACAAGGCCAGTCAATCACAGAGCACTCTGTTTTCACTTGAAGGCCTGCCCAACACGGAGCAGCTGTACAAATATATTAAGACAGGATCCAGGCTGCTCCCAGGAAAACAGAAACTCTGTTTCTTCTAAATATGTGGATTATTGGATAAATAAATCAGGAGATGAGGCTTGAACTAAAAACAGCTCAGGAATGTGCCAGAAAACGAGGACGGATTGGAGCGTTTGAGGATGGAAGCCGTGGAGCCGGTTGTGGTTCCTGAGGGGGTCCGATGTGGTTTCACTGGTGTTGTTAAAGAGCTGAGTAGACCGCCCCCTCTTGGCATGAAGCCTCAGGCTAACTAGGTTGTGGAATGGCGTCCACTTATGTATCTCCTAGCCTGACGTCCTACAACAAAGATGCATACCAACGAACACATGGACAACTTCCTTAAAGTGGTCGTCGTTAGCGACCAGCAGATGTCGCCCTTGAGCTCCAGCATGAAACCAAAACAACTCGCGCTGCATTGTTGTGTTAGCATGCTAATGCTAGCGATCTTTATTATGCTGGTATCTTCACACTGCATGTAAATTTACCTGAAATGAGCGTGATCTAGAAACACAGTTAAGCAGTGAGTACAGTATGTTATTCTTCTTTTCTCTAGTCCCTCAATTAAACAACTTTTATACATGAGGGGAGGAGTCAGCCGGCCGTCCGGGCGATGTAAACAAAGTGAAGATAGGACTCTGAAAACTCTGAAAACGTCACAGACAGTGGGACTCGGGTGTTACACCCATTGTAGACAGTCATGACTCACAGAGTTATTTTCAGAGGATAGACTTGATTTCTACATTTAAGTGTGAAAAATCACATTTAAAGACTTTAACCTTCAGATAGCAGCAGACAGGAAGCAACACATGAACTGATCAGTGACCTTCTCACCTATCTGACCAATGAAAATGTGCCCGACTCTTTTCATGGACTAAAGTAAGGTCAGCTTTTAGGAGGTCGCTTTATTCACAGTCTGAAGTTATCTTATTATGTGCCTCATGTTGGAGTTTATGCAACTTTCCATTTCTGAAGTTTAAAGATCAGCAGGCGTGCTGCTGATTTCTGATACGACTTCAAAACACTTGTCATTATGACTCCACTTATTTGGCCTCACAGTCTCTTTTAATTAGCACCCGGAGGTGTCAGTCACGCTCACAGTAAGTCATCAGCGGGGCAGCAGTCTGTCACAATCATCTCTAATGAAACTTGTCCTCGTCTATGTCTCTCTCTCTCTCTGTTGATAAGTGCTTGCATTGATTGGCCTGTGATGAGTTTGGTGCAGGAAAAAAATGTGATTTGTGGTTATTGGTTGTGTGTAGGGACGTAAATCCATCGATCACGTGGACCGCTCTGGAACATATGGTTCAGATCAGGCCAGAGGCTGGGACACTGTGAGCGATCAGCCGCTGCCAGCTGTGGATTGTGTGGGCATTGTGTTTTTATAAAGCTCTCATGAGTCAGACACAGACACCAAAACCTCAGGCCTCTCTCTCTCTTTTAAAAGATGGAAAGCTTCCCTGACAGGTGGAACATACGTATGGAAGAATAAGAAACACCTCTGAAGATGTTTTTGGCTGATTGACATCGAGGTTTTGATTTAAAGGAAAGATTTTAAATTGCAAATCTCCTTTTGGAGGATTAACGAAGGTCAAGTTTTCTCACCTTGAAGAGCTTTACCAAAACAATGAAAGAGGGGGAGAAAAAGGGTGTTCATATATTTGTGTTAGCAGAATGTAGAGCTGCACATGAACGCCTGCCTTTCCTCTGAGTCCAAGCCAAAGTCGCTTCCATGAAAGCCTTCATTTGACAAACATGAAATATGATCATTTTGTTGTGTTCTGTGCTGCTTTTGTATAAATAAAGAAGATTAAAGGCTTTTCAGAACTGTATCAGAAATGAAAGATGCTAAATCCTTTTGTTCTTGTAAATTTTCCAAAATTTCCTTAAAAAAAATTCAAACACAGCTTTTCCTCTCTGAAGGCTTACTCGCCCGTCAAACGGGAACACAGACACATGCAATTAGAGTCCCTCAAGCTGTGCCGAAGAACAGACGACTTTTCTCTCCTCATGTTAGCGCGTTAGCATCCTGTACTCACCACGGTGCTCAGGCCATGCTCCTTCATCAGCCTGAGGGAGTTCTGGTAGCAGGAGGTGAGGTCGCTGGTCTCGGACTGGCCCACATGACCTCTGGCCACCGGGCCCACGGTGTGGATCACATCTGGGGGGGAAAAGGAAACGACACACACAGTCAGCTCAGGTTTTCCAGCAAGGACACACGGTTGTGTAAGGACAAGTACAATGGTGTTAAATGGTCTGAATTACTTCCACCATGCAGCCGTCCAATCGAACAAAAGTATTCAAAATCTGCAAAATCTGAAAATACGATAACGTTTCTAATTCACAATGAGACAAAAGGGGAAGCGTTGAACAACCCGCGGCCTGAAATGAATGCATTTATTCAGTAAATGAAACGACAGCTTAGATAGAAAATCAATTACAAGATTCTTTTATGCCCTCTGCTCAAATATTCATATCTCTCCCTGTACTCTCTCTCATCCCCCTCCGCATAGTAATGTCTTCACCTGTCACTCAGCGCTCTCCTTGTCTGGCCCGGCCAGGCGAGGGGAATGCAGCTTCTTAATTGAATCACTGGAGTGATGACAGGAAAATAAGAACGTCTAAGCAGTGACTTGGCAGAAAACATAATCTGACTCCCCCTCGGCCTTCTCGGTGTCGGACAGGACGGGTCAACATCCAAATACACGAGGTAGTAAAAACCAGAGCGCTCCAGAGAGGCATCAACACAAACACACACCGCAGGGGTTTAAATGATGTGCTCAAAAGTCGTTATTTTGCAGCCCCATTGTTTTAAAGACATGGTTACTATAGCAACAGGGTCAGAGTTTGCTCAACTGTTTAGTGGAGGATGGTGAGAGGAAGATGAAGTATTTTTGGGGGGTGAGGAAGGGAAAATGTAAATGAGAGAAGAATCACAGCGAGGACCGAACTTTGAACTGCTAAGGTGAATGTCAGAGAGGATTTTTTTATTTTTTTTATTTAATATTTGTTTTTGGGCTTTTTATGCCTTTAATGGAGAGATAGGACAGATGATAGAGTCGGAAATCAGGGAGAGAGAGAATGAGGAATGACATGCAGGAAAGGAGCCACAGGTGGGATTAGATCCTGGGGCCGCCCGCTTTGAGGACTAAAACCTCCGGACATGGGGCGTACGCACTAACCACTGCACCACCAGCGCCCCACAGAGAGGATCTCTAAAATGGAGACTTCTCTTCAAACACTGGCTAAATTCAGATGAGCTCTCATGATAAGCAAGGTCTAAATCTAGCAGGCAATCCTTATTTTTATTTTCCTGGACTATTTCTCTACTAAAACTGTGCAATCTGTTGAAAACTGGACAATATTTATACATTGAAAGTTCTATCTATGAACCGTGCAATATCTACGCTGTTAATCCATCAGTGTATGTTCATATTTGTAAATATTGTTTATATTTTCAATGACTTGCGCTTGAACATAGCTTATTACTTATACTACTTTATTATTGCTTTCACTTAGTACTTCACTTATTATATTGTTATACTATTTTAATTTTAATTTTATATTGTGAACTTCCTGCTGATTCTTGGTGTTATGAGCAACTGTAGCGAACACATTTCCCCCTGGGATTAATAAAGTATTCCTGATTCTGATTAATGCCAGGAGTGTAGTTCTGTTTGAGAACAGCTGAGTCAGTGTGGGTGGGGGAGCGAGTCAGGAGAGAGAGAGAGTGTTGTCATGTGATCGGCAGCTGTAAGAAACAGAGAGATGCATGTCCAGTTAAAGGTGTGTATGAAATGATAAAGGGGATACACGATGCCTGTGTGAGTCATTGATCTCTTCTGTGTATTGAGGAGCTGACTGTTTCAAAGTGTAACATGGCGGTTGTCTACTTCAGTCAGCAGTATTGGCGGGTAAATCTCTATTCACGGCCCATTAAATATACATCAACTATGACTCACACGTTTGCAATTTAACGCATCAAGTCCCCATTTTCTGTGTGCTGAAATATTCAGCCCTGTTGGAAGTGTGAACGCTGAGGAGTGAGCCGTGGTTCAGGTGAGGCTGCGGCAGCCTGTGTGTTTTTCTTACACCTCGCCCGTTTACTTATTACATTAAACATTTAGCCTCACTTTCTTACTGCTTAAACGCTCGCCGCATTATTTACTCTGCTTTGATCATGAATCATTTATAGATTTAGTTCTAAGTCGTGTGCGTCTCGTTGCTTAATAGGTCAGGATGATGAAACGCATCATCGCGGGGAGCCACTCTAATCAAGTGGCCTTCACCGCTGAGATTTTCTGTTTTTGGAGACGAAGAAGGAGAACAAGGAGGAGAGGGTGAGTCCAGCTAAAGCTGAGGTCGGGCTGTAAACGAGACCGGAGCTGTCTGACAGTATTGTCTTCTTCCAGGGTATAGCAGGCCAAACATAGCATAGCACAATGTGCTTATAATGGGACGCGTGGTTAGTTGTTTCCTCTGCATAATGCATGAAGCTCCTTCACTATAAAAACAGCAACATGCCAATTAGAGTGTGGGTCAGCGCCAAGAAGGAAAAAAAACAGACTACTGGTGAATTCATGAAAACTTAAACACTTCTTATCTCACTAGCACCGACGTCTCCGCTCATATCCTCAACACACAGCTGTGTGTGTGCCAGGTGAACGACGACGTGTTTCACTTTGTAACTAACGCAGGGAGATTACAGTGAGGTGCAGATCTTTGCAGTAAGATAAGATAAGATAAACCTGTATTTATCCCACAACAGTGTTACAGCAGCAAAGAGCAAAGATTGCAAACAAAAAGTGAACACAGTACACAATTTAAAGAAAAAAAGAAAAATTAAAAATGTAAAAAAAAACAGATAGATACCACAATATAGATTTAACACAACAAGCCCACCAGGTTATTTTAAAAACCAGCTGTTATGGAGCATGAAGCTGCAGTGCAGAAAGGAGGACTGTATGAATCATAATTGTTTAAATACCTGAAAAAAGTCCAGCTCTGCATGCAGCATGGACACAGATACTTATTATAATTAGCTAAAAAGCATAGAGACATGTCAGTGCGGTGCATTAGCTACGGGTAATTTAGTCGTGAAGCTACATCTCTGAAAGGTTAGCTCGTTTTCTAAGCTCGCTATTTCTGTGTCTGAAGGCTCAGGAAATGGTTATTTATGGCCGCTGCGTTTTTTTTCAATACATAAATTATACAGAGATGCTCTTTGCAATAAGAGTTTTAAAAAAAGCTCTGGCAGATCATCCATCCAACGTGGCGCTCCATCATCATTGTTTTTTTTTCTTCTCCTGACATCCATTAGCTGACAGACACATCGTATCAGTGTGTCTGCGTCGCTCAGAAACACGCACAGACACATGTATACCATTATCTCTGCACAAGAGGAACATAAATCTCTATCTGCACGAGGGTGAGAAGAGTATTAGTGGAGGTTCTCGCACTCTTCAGGGGGGGGATTGAGGGGGGTATGAGCTTGATTGAGAGGATGCAGAAAACATCTAGAGAAGCGTCTTGATGAAATCTTCACACTGCAAACGTTGCAGCACCGCCTCGCTAAAGGAAGCACCTTTGCAGGAAAATGAAAAAAACAATAATTTCTAAATGTACCGGGAATAAAGAGCGGGAAAGACGTGCAGAGGCTAAATGAGTAGACACAGGCGAGCATTGAGTGTGCATACTAAATAAGTCATTAAGGATTTTAACTGACTCGTCTTTATCACACACAAACCCCTCGCTGCACACACACCTCTTCCAACAACACACTCGCCAATTCCACAAGAAATTAATGAGCAACCAGTCCCAGCTTTGCTTCATTTTTCCCCTGCACTGTAATTGTTCATCGGGGTCTCTCACTTGAGGCTACAAGGTCAGCATCTCAATCGAAGCAGCACAGACTGATGACTGCCGTTCAAACTGAGCTTTTTTGTTCCCTCAGGAGTCCATCGATACTGCGGGGGGGGGGAACACACAAAAACAACAACAAAAACAAAGGGAAGGAAGATTGTTCCAACAGGTTCTCCAAATGAGAAATGAAGGATCATTACTGGTTAAAAAACTCCAGGTGGAAGGACCAAATAAAGAAACAATGAAGACTAACTGCTGTTGACCGGTGTGGGTCAGATGTTTGCTACCAACTGAAAACAACAGGGACGGAGAGAAATCTGCTAATTGGAGGGAAAGTTCATCATAGCCTTCCTCATCTTGACTTCTTGTGTGACTTGATTAGCACACATACAAAAGGAGGAACACAGGGAGAGCAGAGACAACAGAAGCATCATCTTGGTGGGGTCAACTTAAGCTAGAACATTTTATTAAAGGAGCAGTATGTAACTCTGACGCCTAGTGTTTAAAATGGGTACTGCAGTCTAAATTCTAAACATTGTAGAGAGCTGTCCCCCCCTCCTCTCTAGAGTGGATGTTCACTCAGCTCACCATGTGGTGGACTCTGAAGCTTCAGTGTTTATCCAGCTCTGCATGGGTCTGTAAACCTTTCTGTGTTCTAACCTCTCTCCATTTTTCAAAAGCATCTCCAATATTGATCCTAGTTTGAGCACGTTTCTGCTCGTGGAGCTTATTAGAAACATGCAGAGGCTTTTTAGGTCGGGTACAATCACTTCTATCTGAACCACTTCTCTTGACCGCTTCCATCGCTGCAACACCTGTTGACCTGATAACTGCTCTCATATCTGACAAACCGAGGGGCGTCCAAAACGGCCGTGTGGGGGTGTGTCTTAAAAGCGCTTACCTTCTCTGGTCCAAACAAATCCAGAGCATTCAGGAGCAGAATCTAAAGTTAGAAGGAGGACATACTGGCTGCTGCATTGTTGTCAGAGAAGCCAGCACTTCAACATAGCATGTTTCCTTAATGATCAGAGTAAGATACCTTTATCATCTCACTCTCTACACAGCTCACTGAGCGGACCTTTAAAATCCTCTTCAAGCAGAAAGTCACTTCCTGTAAATATGTAGGACGTGTTAGGACGAGTGTTGGTGATACAATCACAATATGTTTATAGGGAACTTGGAGAGCAGCAAAGAGTGTGACTTCCCTCCTCCTGTAGTTTGTCGAGGAGAGAGACAGAGTCATGTAATGTTTCCACAGCAGGGGGTCTGGAGATTAATGAAGCGACTATAAAAGCAGAA